CTTTTAAATTTATGATGTCTTTTGATGTGCAGTTTACTTTTTAATTCCAAACCACTAACATTCCTGTTAAAATTGGGAAAAGTTTCCCAAGCTGAAGTTAGTAAATATCTTCCTTCATATTTCCTCTCAGTACTTTTACAGTTTCATAATTAACATTTTATCTTTAATCTATTTGGAACGTATTTTTATGGCTTAGAGTTAGAATTTAACTTAAAAAAAAAAAAATGCATCCAGGGTGCCTGGCTAGTTCAGTTGGAGGAGCATATGATTCTTGATCTTGGGGTCATGGGTTTGAGCCCCCAAATGTAGAGATTATGTTTAAAAATTAACTTTAAAAAAATGAAAAAAATACATAGTCAAAATAGTTCACTATTAATTTATTAGTGGATCATTTTCAATTTGAAAAGTCACTTTCACCATACATTAAATTTCTGTTTCTGGTTGTGCACTTGTAATTCTGTTTCATTGTTCACTGTTCATCTGTTCAGGTCTATGTTAACTTTTGAGTATATATTGACAAATCATGTAAAAGGAAGAATACTCCCTATCCATTGTTCTTTAAAAAAAAAATTATTGGTTATTTTGGAGAATTATTCTTCCATGTAAACATAAAATCAGTTTCGTTTTCCATTAAAATTTTATCAGAATTTTAATTATGATTTATATTTTTACATATTAACTTAAAAAGTGGAGTTTCTATAATGTTGACTCAATTTAGAAATATGGCATATTCTTCTAGTCAGTTTTTTCTTTTTGTAAATTTTTATAAATTTTTCTCTTCTATTTGACTCACTCCTTTCTGTTTTTAGTTTATTTCCAGGTATTTAGTAATCTTTCTAATAGGGGTTCTCTTCTACAAAGCATATTCTAAATTTTTCTTATGAAATTAATATTATTTACATATAGTTGGGAACAGTGAAGGAAAAGTATATGATACTACCACTCTATTACAAGCATTTATTATTTTGGAATATTTCCTTCTAGATGCAGTATGATCAACAAAATTTTTACCCACATTGCAATCCTTTTATTCAGAAACGTAAGACTGCCCATGAAACATACATGCAGTTTGGTTATCAGTGATAGAGTATTTGTATTTGCTAAAAATAAATCCACTAGTTACAAAGTAATAATGCTCAGTATAAAAGTCTAAAGACTGAAGTGTACAATCTAGAAAAATAAAGTTCTCTGTATCTGACCCCTTCCCCTGCCTCTGAGAACACTGGCTACTGTTAATTTGGTACTTATTTTTCCAGGCAATTTTTGGCACCATCATAGAAATAATATTTTTCATCCCCCACTTGTGGTATTTCCCCAATCTGCAACATTTTATGCCATGTCATTTCAATTTTTTTTTTTTTTTTGGTAGCTACATGGACTTTTCCATAGTATTTTCTTGAATAGATGTTCAGATTTTATTTAACGGTTCACCTGTTGTTGGCTACTTGGATTTTGCAATGAACATAGATAATGGCTGGACCCTTTGAGTATTTCTAAAGACAAATTCCCAGAATTCGTTTCTTAGCCAGAAGATCTGCACATTTATATTTTTAACTACCCTTCAAAAATGGTGTTTTAAAGCCAAGTTATGGATGTCTACATAATACTTGGTATTTTTCAAGTCCTATGAAATTTAAGCAAGGGTCTAATTATCTAAAACTTACAGGAGTCGCTTCTGTAGCAAGTTATTCCTTTTTTGAGGGTACAAACAATAAAAGTTTAACATTTTTATTTGTGCTGATCATGTGCTTTAAAGAATAAACATCAAACCAACCTAATTGCAGTGGTGTATATGCTACAAGTACTAATGGTGAATTTGCGTCTGACAAGGGTTAGATGGGTTTCCATTTCATTCCTTAGGTTATCCTTCGAATTATGTAAAAGAACAAAGGAACCTACAAAGTGTCTAATGCGATAAATTGGGAGACAAAGGGATGCTTTCTGTGGTGGATAAAGTGTGCACATTTTAAACAGAAATTACATGAACCTTCTCTGGAACTAGTGCTTGCACAACTCCCAGTATAAGCCTATGCTCCATCTGTAACATATGGATGTTGTTTCCCTTCGAACCTCACAGTATTACTGCCTCACAACTGGAAAATAAACTTCAGAGAATATGAGAACATTGAACACCATGTTAAACCATCAAATATACTTGATAACTAACAGAAATTAAGGCCTATGATGAACTTGTGCCTTTCTAATACCGCTAATTCTCTGTGTGTGATCTTTCCCCGGGACCAATCATTGATACACTTAGCTTTGTCATCTCAATCCTGTCAAGTGGGCTGTATCTCCTCCTATTGCAATCTGATTTACAGTTCAAGCAAGTAAAATAAAATGTCTACCAAGTTAGTGGTTTGTAAAAAGGAACTCTGTCAAGGTTTTATTAATCAACAGGTAATTTAAATGTCTTCTATCCTCATTTGCTTCATCTAATCTTTACATCTGTCCCTTTTTTCACATGTTGGCTTGATACCGAAACTTCTCACAGAATTATAATGAACTGAACCAAGGCACCATGAACCACATGGGCTTTGCAAAACCCAGACTGGTTAAAGTCAGGGCTTCATTTCTTAGCTGTTATCTTGGGCATTTTTTAACTTCTCTGAGAGTCCTTATCTAAATTGGTAATAATGGTACCTACCTCATGGGGTTATTAGGAGGATTAAATAAACTACTGGCACATAGATATATAAAATTTTTTTTGAACTTACTGCTATCTGTAAAATGGATAGAATGTCTTCTGGGTTTTGCTTCTTTCCACTCAGCAAATAAGAAATCACTTTGACAGTGATAGTTGAGAAGTCAACATAAATGCTTTGACATAAATACATTAAAAAAACAGAAATAAGTACTTTAGTACTGATGTAATAGAACTTACCAAAAAGATGTGTTTGTCACAAACCACTGTTTGAAACAGCCCAAAAAAGGCTTTCAAACTGAAATTATGCGGCCATATTGTCTTCATTAGAACAGTCCAAATTGTCTGAGACACAGAGATGTTAACGATTCCTAGAGTCCTAAATACCATTCAAAAAGTTTGACAAATTTTTGTACCCTGTGCTTACTAGACTGAATTTAAGACCCAACTGCTTAGAGAAAGATGGCTTATTTCATTAGGAATGGATTGGAAAAGCTATATTGATGAGTTTCCTTTTGCTTAAAATAACTTTTCAAATAAGGTGGGAGGTTGATAGTCAATCAAAGGGCAAAGTCTTCTACAGGTAATATATCATATTAGGAATATGTAAAACTAGCATTTTCCCCAAGGCACTCAGCCATTTAGCTGTCAGCACTAATGAGTAAGAAATTTAGGTTTTACAGTAATCCACGGTGGAAAGCCCTGGTTACTAGATGTGTCCCAAAAATACTTCCTTTCTTGTATGGCTATTTATTGCTTCTGATTTTCCCAATAAGCTCATAACTACAACATGAGCAAACTAAAACAACAAATGCTCTCTGCTAATTCCATGATAAAAATACTTGAAACCCGCCATCTTTATAATTGCACACTATCTGCAGTTATTACACAAAACTTCCTAGGACCCAGAATGGAACAGTTAAAAACATTTTCAAACTTAAATAAAACTAATGTTCATGTGATGCCAGTTACTCTTAGAAAAATACACTCAACTCTGAATAGGCATTCATTATATATTTCAGGAAAAAAACGTTCATGGCTTAGAAATACGTTAAAAGGTGTATATAGTTTAATACTAAAACTAGATGTCTCTAAGGTTTAAAAACAAGTTTCTTGTTGACATTGTGTAATTTAAATTCCACATACTTTCAAACCTTTGGGATATGTATCCTTAGAATTTGGGTACTTTTCTGGCATTCTATACTTAAATAGAATTTTTCAGAAAAAAATGAGAACAGGAATATGTGGAATAGCCAAGGTCTTCTAATGATTTATTAGCAAGTTCTGATTTTTCTAAGTCAAATAATTTATGACTAGACATTTAAAGATGTGGGTTAACAGGAAAAAAGTATCTTTTTAAAAAAATTTAATTTTGGGAAAAAATCCAAATTCTTATATGTCTTTCTCTCTTTTTGTAGTTCAAGTACGCTTACAAGACTGATGGCATCACAGTGGTATAAATATGAAGGGACTACTGAAGAATCTGAAGTACTGTACTATTTGGCTTTAATTCAGACATCTATTAAAGACTTTCATGTGTTGAAAAAAAGCACAAGGAACAGAGATGTGAGAACATTTCTGCTTTATGCAGTGGCATTAGGCATATAAGTCAGATGCCATGTCAAAATTAATACAGGCTTTGATTCTTGATTAGGAAAATCCTATGTATCACAACTTTGATGGTTTAAAGAGGTTTTATTGTATATATATTTTCCACTAGTACTAGTAATAAACTTTAGACTTTTATATGCACATTTTGATACTGTTGCCTTGGGGAAAATTATGGTTAATAAAAAGTTGATTTTTTTAAGAAAACTTTAAATTTTATGTTTTTTCTTCGCTAAATATTTTAACACCTTAAAGTGAAATATCCCCTTTTCTATTTCTGCCTTTTTTATGCATAGAAAAGAAGCACACATCATCATGCCTCAAACTACTTTTTATTTGCAACTACATGATTTCACGCAATTCTTCTAAACAATGACATAAAATAGATTTCCTTGTGTATAAATAACTTACATATTCTCCATAAATGCTCAAAGGTGCTAGAACAGATCGTCTGCTGCTACAGTGTTCTCATATCCAACAGAGTTGATGCACAATATATAAATACTCAAGTCCAATATTAAAAACTCAGGCACTTGACTAACTTTAATAAAGTTTCTCAAACTATATCAATATATCTAAAGTGCATATATATTTTTTTAAGAAAGATTATTATCAATAACTTTTCTATAAAAATAAGTTTGATGGTTTGGCCCATCTAACTTTACTACTATATGAATATGAACTTTTAATATGTGGTCAAGCTTATTCTACCTTCTCTCAACACTGACACCAACAGAATCAAAAGCAGCTAGTGAGGTGCTAACATGTGAGGATTAATCCAGTGATTCCGGTCACAATGCATTCCAGGAGGAGGTACCCATGTTACTGGAATTGGGCGATACGGTTTATTCTTTCTTCCCTGATTTGGATAACCAAATGGAATAGGAGGAGGGTAGTGATTCTGATGGCCATTCCCTCGGTACATTCCTGGCTTTTTTCTGGGCAAAGGGTGCCACATTGGAAGTGGTGGGAATATCAATTCTGAAATCTGCATGAAAGAGAAAACAGTAAGTTAATTCAGAGGAAAAATCAGTCACAATATGTAATAAACTTAGGTGAACTTCCAGATTACTTACTAAAGAAAAACAAAACCACTCACCCATACCCTACCCTTAAGTGTAGGTCTAAATAACATTCCTATGGTCAGATCTAAATATGTTAGAAATTTCATATATTGTAGGTGATTGATTAGTTTTCTTTTCTTTTTTAATTTTTTTTTTTTTAATGTTTATTATTTTTGAGAGAGAGAGAGACAGAGAGC